TGGTGTGATGACACTGAAGCTGCTGTTGCGTTCTTGCGGGATGCATTCAGGTTGCGCCTGCAAATGCTTTGTGATGGCGCTATCACTTGTTGCCACACGTTTGTCAGGCGGCTTCTTGTACAGCTTGTCTGGGATATGCTGCTTGATCCTTTCCGAGAATCGCTGACATGTCTCACCAACGTACGTTCGCTCACAGCGACACGCATACTTATAAATAAAATTACTATTTTCAAGAGTTGGTGAAACATCCTTCGCGATAGACCTGAATGCGGGCCTGGTTGTATAAATTACAATGGGGGATACTGTAGGATAGCAGTTCAAAATTGCAGCTTTAATCTTTTTGCGGAAGGCAATGCAATTTGGCCCTTTCCACGGCAATTTTGTGATAATACGCGTTGCAGGTTCAAGTTGTGCAGAAGCTGTATCTGGGCTAGGTTCAAGAACGCTTGTCATGACTCGCTTGAGTACTTTGAGTGGGTAACCGTTAGAACACAGAATATCCTCTAGCTTAGCAATTTCAGCTGATAATAGTGATGGTGAGCAGATGGTTTTAGCTCTGAAAGTTAATGATCTGATCAAATTGATTTTGTTTCTAGTGTCACAAAACGAGTCCCAGCGGGTGTAAAGACCTGTGAACGTCGGCTTTCTATATACTGTGGTGAGCAATTCTGTGGAAGAATGCTTAATCAATACATCAAGAAACGGCAATTCTCCATTATTCTCCTCCTCCATTGTAAACTGGAGAGCTGGGTGAAGATTATTTAAACGCTCAGAGAATTCCAATGCCAGTTTCCGGTTGTGAAATGCTGCGAATGTGTCATCCACATAACGCCTATAGAATTGGGGCCAATGACTGTCTGGAATTGTGTTCTCAAAATGTCCAACAAAGATATTGGCTAGCACGGGGCCCAAGGGTGAACCCATGGCTACTCCGTCCCTCTGTGCGTACATATTGCCGTTGAAACTGAACTGCACGTCTGATGTGGCTTTGAAAAGCAGCTTCTTGAAAAGATCTTGGGGTATTTGCGGGGCTGATATTTCATCATCATGGTATAGCGACTGTATGCAGATATCTATTGTTTCCTTGAGAGGCACGTTTGTAAAGAGGCTGACTACATCGAAAGAGCACAGGAACAGCGATCCAGAGTTCTCTGCCTGCTGCTGGCCAAATTCCCGTACATCATCCACGAACTCGAATGTATCCTTAGTTGCGTGGGCGGAATATTTGTTCAGGACTGGTTTTAGTAATTCAGCTAACCACTTGGCCATTTCGTGTTGGGGAGCATTGATCATGGACAGGATTGGTCGAAGTGGCACGTCTTTCTTATGTATTTTCGGTACGCCATAGAACACAGGTCGGCACGAGCCAACGGGTCGGATCCTGTCGTAATCTATATTGAGTATTTTTCCAGCCTTTTTGTATCGCAATAGGTATGCCTGCAAGGCGCGTTCATCCAGGTAAGTGCGGTCATGCGTTTCCGTCGGTCCCAGGAGTTGAAACTTCGATGCATCAGCCAGAATAGCATTCATCTTGTCATTGTAATCACTTCGCTGCATTATCACCACTCCATTCCCTTTGTCCGGCCTGCTGATTATTATATCTTTGTCATTCTTTATTTTCCTGATGGCTGCCATATGCTTGTCGTTGAGGGGATAATCGGTTTTATCTGCTTTACTGTTACTAAACTCTTCGGCAAGATTCGCCAACGCTGCTTGACACGTATCCCTCTTGGCATCACTCACTGGTACGCAGCGCTCCAATTGATCATTTGTTAGTTCGAATTCTGCCTGCACAATCTCCTTGTCCATTCTGGAACTAGGGGGGACTCCAAACTTCAAGCCCCTGCACAGTACGTCTTTTTCAATATTAGTTAGCATAACTCCGGCCAAGTTGAGTAGGTGGGAGTGTTTTAATTCGCTTGAGCCCTTCTCATAGCGCACCTCCCTCCTGAGTGCATCGTCAAACTTACTTTTGATCCGGCATTGTAATCTTGAGGAGGTCTGGTTGATGAGCTTCGCGAACCTGAAGCGGTCCAGCACGCTAAGGCTCCGATTGACTTCGTGAAGAACACGGCGGTACTCGAGGAGAAAGTGTTCCAAGTCAGCGGCGGTCCTCTCCAGTTCGTCCTTGATAAAGGCGCGTTCGATTCTCCATGGCTTCTTGGCCTTAACTCTCTGCACCCGCTTCTTGATAGAGCGGGGCGCAACGCCGCACGTAAGGCAGTTCCGTAAAAAATCTGCATTCTCACGACCACGGATGATCCGGCCTTTGCACTTTAACACATAATTCAGGTCCTGAATTAGTCGGTGGTCCAGTCGCCGTTTTAAATATTTAAATAGAGACGTAGGCGAACAAAATTTGTATACACACAACAACAAGGTTGTCAGTTTCATAACACTAAAAGCTTTTCACCCATTTTCATCAGTAGATACATGGGAATGAGCAAGAACGAAAACGAAGCCAGAATTTATACTGGGGGTAGAGAATCAGCAAGAATATTCTTACGCGCCTCAAGTTCACACTACACTACCATAAGAATGTATGGAGCAGTGGAAAAATGCGGGAAACAACACATGAGGGGAATGCAGTACCAGAACAAACACGTGATAAAGTTGTCAGTCCGGTTGCAGCTTGAACACTCGTTTTGTGACACTAGAAACAAAATCAATTTGATCAGATCATTAACTTTCAGAGCTAAAACCATCTGCTCACCATCACTATTATCAGCTGAAATTGCTAAGCTAGAGGATATTCTGTGTTCTAACGGTTACCCACTCAAAGTACTCAAGCGAGTCATGACAAGCGTTCTTGAACCTAGCCCAGATACAGCTTCTGCACAACTTGAACCTGCAACGCGTATTATCACAAAATTGCCGTGGAAAGGGCCAAATTGCATTGCCTTCCGCAAAAAGATTAAAGCTGCAATTTTGAACTGCTATCCTACAGTATCCCCCATTGTAATTTATACAACCAGGCCCGCATTCAGGTCTATCGCGAAGGATGTTTCACCAACTCTTGAAAATAGTAATTTTATTTATAAGTATGCGTGTCGCTGTGAGCGAACGTACGTTGGTGAGACATGTCAGCGATTCTCGGAAAGGATCAAGCAGCATATCCCAGACAAGCTGTACAAGAAGCCGCCTGACAAACGTGTGGCAACAAGTGATAGCGCCATCACAAAGCATTTGCAGGCGCAACCTGAATGCATCCCGCAAGAACGCAACAGCAGCTTCAGTGTCATCACACCAGCCCGGAACAGCGCGCACAGATTCACACTGGAGGCGCTGTACATTCGTAGTTTGAGGCCAGAGCTGTGTCGACAAAAGAAGCACATCAAGGTGCTGCGGCTGTTCAAGCTGCAACCGGACTGACAACTTTATCACGTGTTTGTTCTGGTACTGCATTCCCCTCATGTGTTGTTTCCCGCATTTTTCCACTGCTCCATACATTCTTATGGTAGTGTAGTGTGAACTTGAGGCGCGTAAGAATATTCTTGCTGATTCTCTACCCCCAGTATAAATTCTGGCTTCGTTTTCGTTCTTGCTCATTCCCATGTATCTACTGATGAAAATGGGTGAAAAGCTTTTAGTGTTATGAAACTGACAACCTTGTTGTTGTGTGTATATATATATATATATATATATATATATACACACAACAACAAGGTTGTCAGTTTCATAATACCAAAAGCTTTTCACCCATTTTCATCAGTGGTTGAAAATAGTAATTTTATTTATAAGTATGCGTGTCGCTGTGAGCGGACGTACGTTGGTGAGACATGTCAGCGATTCTCGGAAAGGATCAAGCAGCATATCCCAGACAAGCTGTACAAGAAGCCGCCTGACAAACGTGTGGCAACAAGTGATAGCGCCATCACAAAGCATTTGCAGGCGCAGCCTGAATGCATCCCACAGGAACGCAACAGCAGCTTCAGTGTGATCACACCAGCCCGAAACAGCGCGCACCGATTCACACTGGAGGCGCTGTACATTCGCAGTTTGAGGCCAGAACTGTGTCGACAAAAGAAGCACATCAAGGTGCTACGGCTGTTCAAGCTGCAACCGGACTGACAACTTTATCACGTGTTTGTTCTGGTACTGCATTCCCCTCATGTGTTGTTTCCCGCATTTTTCCACTGCTCCATACATTCTTATGGTAGTGTAGTGTGAACTTGAGGCGCGTAAGAATATTCTTGCTGATTCTCTACCCCCAGTATAAATTCTGGCTTCGTTTTCGTTCTTGCTCATTCCCATGTAACCACTGATGAAAATGGGTGAAAAGCTTTTGGTATTATGAAACTGACAACCTTGTTGTTGTGTGTATATAAATTTTGTTCGCCTACCTCTCTATTTATATATATATATATATATATATATATATATATATATAGAACAATAGAAGTATTTCTTGCGTCGGCAAAAAGTGCTCAATGTCCTAAGACAGAGCGGGGTTATACACTCAGACACAAAGGATCTCCAAGTTTCTCAGTGTTGCTACTCTGAGTTTCGTGCAAAAGCACTCTTCAGGCAACAAAATATATATATCAGGAAGGAGATATAATAATATCAATAATAAAGCCATTGCCGAGCCACCGTGCTCACAGCAGAGACTTCTGTGTGTGTTATTGTTGTGAAGTGGACCACAAAGACCTACTAGTAACAGTAAGGGGATTTCTCCAGCCATGCTGCGACACACTGTTTATTGGGAACTCGTGGCCTGGCACGAGAGAAACACTAATGCAGTGAATGGGATTTTGGTCTTTGACCAATTTGTGGTGGGTCTGATCTACTTATCTCCCACCGCTTAGGAGCTGCATCTGCGCCTTGATGGTAGAGGGTGGTGGCGTTCCTACGGATGCGGGAAACTCGGCTTTCAGCCGAGTCTGAAGCGAACCGTAATTTTGTTGTGTTTTTTTTTGCTTCAGAAAAGGAAATTGTTGTCATCCCATTGACGCAGTGCCTTCGTTCTCTTCTTTCCCGTGCGCTTGTCTCCGTTTTAGTGTTATGTAATAACGGATTCATGGACACATCAGTACCCAGTGCGCCTGTATGCAGGTGTCTACCAGGCTGGGTTGGCAAGCGATGTGAAAAACGTGAGTTTGGGAAATTCTGAGATGGTGTCCTGTTTTGGTTCTGCTTGGTTTGGCTTCTTTTTCCAACAATCATTCAGAAGTAGATACTCAGCTCAGCTCACAGACTAGTCAGTTTGAGCCCTGTGGCAAGATGCTTTCAGGCATAGTTTAAATCTGGCTTTTGGTAATTATATTTTTCATTGCTCTCCGGTTCGGCCTCATTTTAGCTGTGCTCCGCTCATGAGTCCACAAAGAACGGATCAGTTCTGCCTCCAGGTTGAGCGGATGCTTATCTAGGGAGTTTTGCGTGGTGAAAAGGGCGTAGCGGTGGGGTTTAAATTGGAGGGAGGGAAGAATCGAAGTCATTGGTGATGCCTTCACAATCTCACTGGCTGTACTGTGATGACATGTGATGGCGTCACTCGTGACGGTGTCATAACATGAGCCGCAATCAGCGAAAACGACCCTTAGAGGTTTCGTAATTTTTTCAAGAAAAATGTAGATTTGTGACGTTCAACGATTTATTGATCGCGCTGCGAACAGCGCGACAAGTTCTTCTTGATCTCCTTGCTTGAATTTATTTGAAGTTAGTTGAAGTGGTGTCGAGTGGCGACTCGAGTGTTCCTTGATCTTGTTGCGATGGCTGCGGACGCCAGAGCTGTTCGCAGAGCACACGCGGCAGTCATTGTGTACAGCTAGCTCGAGCCTGGTGGGGAGTGGATGCTGAAGTAGCCGTTGAAGTTCAGAGTGAGGATGAGACGTTCTTTGGTTCCGACATCGACATCGATGTCGACAGCGAGGCGGAATCGCAGCCGTCATCTTCTGCTGCGTTGCGGCTCAAGGTGGTCGATGACTCGTCAGAGTCGGAAGATGAGGAGTCATCACCTGAGATAAATTCTGAGTCTGGGGCTAGTGACGGTAGCGACGTCGTGTCGTCAGCTGCGCAGGAAGAAATGGAAGACATTGCGGAACGACTCCACGCAGGATGCAGCTGCAAATAAGTCGATCATGTCTCCGCACTCTTCCGCTATTCTTTGTCATTCTAGCTGCTTACTTCGCTATTTCAAAGGTATTCAAGCTGCCTACCCACCTAAAAATGCTGAATATTTATTGTACACATAATTATATCGTACACATACATTGCACCAATTTGGAGTACATCTTGGATATTGGTGTATACACCCGTTTTGAATCGGAATATTGAACTTTTTCTTGGCTGAGGTCCTTCAGTAGATGTGTTTCAACAAATTTCTAACCAAAGAGGAATTTTGAAAAATTTGACCCTAAGGGCTGTTTTCGCTGGTTGAGGCCCACATCATGATGTTGCATGCAGATGATGACTGTAATGATGCCGTTGGACACTGGGACGGTGTCTTTCGTGCTGTCATGACGTCACTGCAGTTCCTGCGTGATAAAAAAGTGGTGAATATATACCTGCATGGTTCCGCTGTTTTCACTGTGATGTTATTGTTTTGAATATAATCAACAGAGCATGGTAAGTCCCACCCGCTCCCCGTGACACCTCCGCCGTTGGAAAAGCTGCCTGCGATGCACTGAGGGCCAATCATCGGTGTCCTTAGGGTACGTTGCAGAGAGCGCATTTCATGGAAACGAAAAGCTGTGTTTTTGTTTTCACTGACATATAGGTGCTGTTGATGGTTTTGCCAGTACAATTTCGTGGGTTGTGCCCAACACCGGGCGGTGTAAACCTACGTACACCGCCCCACTGCAATGTGCCCAGAGCGGCCGCTTCCCGTGGCAACCTGCCCAGGCCTCGTGCGACCGGTGGTATAGTAGCATTGCGACACAGCTACCCCTGCACAGCCCGGCTGCATCAGCCTTCCATCGCTTGGTCAGCGAGCTAACCGTGGCCGGCTTTCACCATCGTATGTCTGTCTGGCTCAACAACACTGGTGTTAGATCCCTGTACAGCCTGAGCAGAGAGGCCCTCAGCGCTCCACATATCAACACTTCTGTCACCCGTGACCGGTGACCCAGTCGGAGATATAATCTGCCAAGGTCAGTTGTTGTATGAGATTGTATTTTGTATCGCAGACCAAACGGGCAATGAGGCCCAAAATTATGATGGCGATAAGGTCACGGCCAAAAGCCAAGAATACAACAAACCTCCACAAAAGAGGGAAATGTACAGACCACAAATACTCGAAAAGAAGAAAAGAAAAAAAGATTACCCACCGTAGTTGTGAATATCTATTTGTTGATACGGTGCTGCCCGGAGAAATCCAAACCCATGTATAAAGTAGCACTGCGTTTGAGAGCACAGACCAGTATGCGTAGTGTTAGGGCTGCGTAGCGCGCGGCAAAATAAAATGAAATTGGATTTCTGTAGCCAGTACGGCAGATGAGAAGAAGAAGCAGCGACGACCCGGCCTTTAATTTGTGGAATCCAATACACCACACCACCACATTGCGCTCTTGGCAGAGTTTGGATCGGCCAAGAGCGCAATGTGGTGGTGTGGTGTATTGGAGTATGGTAGATGTCGATAGGAAATCAAACAGTGTGGAATAAGCGTCAGTGTAGGGATGTTGTTCGTTGGTGGTCGATGTGTGAATGGTTAGGTCCGCAAGACTTGTTTTATGATAGCAATCCTATGATAAAAATAATATAAGATAAAAAAGGAGAAGGAGTCATGACTAACTGTCCACCAGCGTAACCAGATAATATTATACAGTCAGCGAGTTGAAGAGGGCTAGTCAAGAGAGTGCTAAATATTTTCACTGGCTCATAGAGACTGGGGCACTATTCAAGATAGATGTCTACTCAAGAGAGGGTTATAATCGTGCCAGTACGGTAGTATCAATCGGGATGAATAAAGTTTTTGAAGCTCGAAAAGCTCGCATGAGCGGCCACCCAGTAAAAATGTCTACTCGTGAACATGCCCAGGTGCAGCGTCTCAACAGACTTGTTCCGTTTCCTAGCCCACCTCGGTGTGAACACAGTGGAACGAAATCACAGGCCCAGTACACGGTGCAGTACATGCACAGCTCCACGTGAGGATATTATGCTATGTGTACTTTGTGACAATACTGCGACGTGTGCTCCTGTGTGTGTGCTCCTGTCTCCCGTGTGCTCCCGTCCCGCCGGAAAATACGGTGTATTGATCAAACCACCATAGCACAAAGCTATGCCGTTAACCCTTTTACCGCTAATGTCGCCTATATGCGTCATTGAGAATGAGCCGGCCACTAGTGACATGTTTACTTAAAAAAGGCTCATAGTACAGAACAAAAAGGACAATCAAGGCTTGTTTGCTGCTACTCCAAGTTTCATACTCTCGAAATCGTCAGGCAACACTCGCAACTTGAAACTTGAAGTAGCAGCAAACAAGCCTTGATTGTCCTTGTTGTTCTGTTCTGTATTACGCTCTGCCTCCGCCATGGTGTTGAGCACTGTCAGCACACTGGGTGCATTCTTTGGTAAAGTTCATGGCATAAATGTCCATTTCTAGGTTGGCTAGGTTATTCTGTCGTACATGGCCAGTGGGTACAGTCTCCAGTGCTAAAGAGTTGCGCAGCTAGCCATTTGCCCAATTTTTCTAGCATTTTGTCCAGTGGCTGAATGGCACACCCCTGTAGTGGTAAAGTAGTGAAATAATATTGCCCGTCTCCCCCTGGCCCCTGCCACACAACAGCGCAAACAACTTGGTAAAGTTTCTGACTTCTTATACAAACGGAAAGGGCACACGAGGAGAAAGACGAAAACCAGCCTCGAGAAAAAGACAACGGAAAAGACACAAAGAAACAACAAAGAACAAGCAGTAATAAGGGAGCATCTCATAAGTTGGCATTTTGTTTCTAAACGTAACGCATTTCGAAACGGGGGTAGGGGGTAGCGCCCATTTCGGATAGAAAAATGACAGTTCGCACATTTTCTGGATGTGTGCAATACAGTGCTGTGTGCTTGTGCTAGACCGCTTCAGACAGCAGGGTACGGGTGTGTTTTAGGTGTAGATCTAACCCTTGCACTACGCATGCTGACTACTCAGAGGTGTCAAATGTCACACCAGCCTGATCAAACCGTGTACCTGCCACCTGGCCAGCTTTGACAGTACAGTCGTTGTGGAGGAACTCTGTGTGTGTGTGTGTGTACATGTCATTGATTGAACTAAGACTGTAACTACAGTCAGTATCGCCTATAGCGTTGGTGTTTGATTTTGAGCATTTTATCACTATAAGCGATATATTACTATGACCGATACTGCATGCAATGTATGCGAGTGGGGTGTCAAACGACTCAGCGTGCCGTGCCCATACGCACTACATACATGTACAATGTCATGTAGCTGGCTGTAGCTCCTGACACACAAAATCAGCATTTCCTCATGATGGAGGCATATTTTGGCAACTTGTACGAGCAAAACTCACCAAACAACACTCACTGGACAAGTTCTTCACGAAGAAGTAACACCCTGTTCTCCTCTGACATCGCTTGATTTTGCATCAATCACTATAACCGATGCAAAAATAATGTAATAAAGGTCTTTTGAAATAAGAATTTGATCACTATAGGCGATTATTACTATAGACGATTATTACTATACGCGATAACTGTTTATACTTAGTTATGGCAAATGAAAATGAATTTGAGAAATTGATCATTATATCCGGTATATTACTATAGCCGCCAACCTTATAGGCGATACAGACTGTAATACTCACTTGTACTCAGTAGATGTGGTAGTACTACTGTATGTCATTCACTTCAACACTAGCGTCCATGCACAATCATGTACATTGTACATGATTGTGCATACCATGGCATGGATATGTACAGTACAGTAGATCTACACTGAAAATGGACATGCACAGTACAGTAGATCTACACTGAAAATGAGCGATAAGACTTTCAAATAGTGGGGGGGGGGGGGGGGGGAGGAAGGGGGGTAAAGTCTATTCGAAATGCGTTACGTTTACAAAAAGAGTGCGAACTTATGAGATGCTCCCTAAAGCGAAGACAAATCGGGACGACCAATCAGGGACTAATACGTACAGAACACATGCCCAAGACCAAGACAACCAGACCACGGACGAATCACACACGACTCTCATTCCCAGACCAAACTAGCACTGTGCATGTACAGCATTCACTTGACAGTCACTCTCACACAGACGGAAGCAGATCCTCACACTCGAACACCGCGTACTCTTGCATGCACCACATACCATAAACGTCACAAATCACACCATGCTCATACGTACAGACCATACATGACATCAGACACTGATCTCTACGAGACGAGAACCAATTACAACAACATGCGTAAATAATAGTTGAACGGAATTTCGCAACATAATGAAGGTGGAGCAAAAAAATGCACCGTGCTCATAGCTCTCTCCGTTCTGCCTTGTTGTTGACAGCTGATTGGACACACACCAAGGTCACGTTCATGCTGTGGCATGCACGTGTGGCAGTCAAGGCAGCACCACCCGTAACCGCCGCTGACCTGTGGATGATCCCGGTGTTCTGTTCGGCCATGAATATGTCAATTCCGCAATACGACTCCCGCTTCCACCCGGGACTGTTCTATAACGCCATGCGTCAGCTCGGCTTTGCAGGCCCGGAGTTTAATATACCGGTGCAGTCCCTAACGTACGACAGCAGCTTCTACATAGCAAGGATTTCGTCGCCATCTCATTCGCGAATCGATTACACTCCTGGCAAATTACAACCGACGTACAGTCCAGTATGCGTGAGTAAGTCACTACTTTGATGCATTTCAATCCTGCGGGGAATCCCCCCTGTTGGCTCAGGAGCATGTTAAAACACTCATCATGCCTAGAGTCACTACTCCAATGCATTTCAATCCTACGGGGAATCCCCTGTGTTGGCTCCGGAGCATGTAACCCAGATCCGAATTTTCAATTGTACTCATTATAATTATGACGTTTTCTCAAGATTTTTAAACTAAGAAGATCATCACACCAAGAGTATAATTACAAGCTCACAAGAGTGTCAACTCTTGATACCCTTTCTCTGGGGTTCACCAACGGCGAAAACTCACATCACATGGCGTAGTGGTCCAGCTGTACGTTTCCAGTCCGTTTTTTAGCGAGCAGCGAAGTAATAAAAAGCACTCCCTTGCAGAGACTCGCTGTGGTTATGCTACTCACCAGCATGATCACGGCAGCTATTCGGACTGCGCACCCACCATACTTTATTTGTACACAGTATGAAACGTACCTGAGGCACGTGAGGTGAGTTTTTTTGCTGCCAGAGATCCATAATCTTCAGCAGTGTTGCACACTCTTGGGAGCTTATAATTCTACTTGTACTCTTACGCATACTTGTACATTACTAGCATCAGAAAGCACTAATTGAGCGGTGAGAATCCGGAAGTAGTAAACTATCGGTATTTTTCTACTTTCCGATTTGAACGTCTACAGTTCAGCCCTGACCATGTCATACACGCAACTGTCCAAGTCGAGCGCTGTGCAAGTTAACCTTGATATTTGTCCCGAAGAGCGCAGCCCAGCCGCAGCATTTTGCTCAGACCATCTCGGCTGCAATTCTTTCAGGAGCCATTCTGCCCGGGGCCGTTTGAAACAGGATATTGTGCGAAAATACTTGCGGTCCTGAGAATGTCAGTTCTGATTTGCATATAGCTAGGAGTGGACTGTGGACGGATAGGATGAAGAGTAGCCAACACTGCAAGTGCCCAGAAGTCATTGCTGAGCAGTTCTATATCTATTAGAACCATATCCATCACACACTCATACTCAGCCCAAGGCATCAAGGAAATGTTTTGGAGATAGTGTGCTGCTTCGAGTAACTGGTCTTGCCATGCAAAAGGTCGAAGAGCTGGAAAGCAATGCCAGGCCACTGGCAGCAACTGGCACGCGAGGAGCCGCAATAAACCCACATTGTGCCACAATGGGGTTGCAAGGCACAGCCAATGCAATTGGCAACAACTGGCTCGTGAAGAGCCGCAACTAGCGAAGCAAATGACCAGTTAGGAGTAGAGCTAAATGTTCCCTAGTACCATTAGCAAGAGGATAAGATGGGAAGGATGGAGGGTGAAAATTTGATGCTGGCACAAGCTAGAAGTCACCACTAATTAGACTTTGAAGTGAAGCCAACAGCAAGAAAGAAAGAGAAAGTTCAAAGGAAGCAGTTGTGTGACGTCAGGCTAAGCGCACCCAAATCCATGCGCTGGTTGTGTGAGTGCAGTGAGCGAAAGTTCAAAGGAAGCAGTTGTGTGACATCAGGCTAAGCGTGCCCAATTCTATGCGCAGGTAGTGTGAGTGCAGTGCGCAATGCACTGGTGCAGCGGTGCGCGGCAGATGCAAACATGGCAGTGTGATCGGTGGATGCTAACACACACTAACTCCATTACTGCGACATTTGACATAGTGGGGTAGTACATTTGCTGTTTGCGTCATGCAGAGCTCACTGACTTGTCAGTTTGAGCACTCTGGCAAGGTCCGTTCAGGCCTGGTTTAAATCTGGCTATGGAAATCTATTTCTCATTGCTATCAGGCTCGGCCTTATTTTCTCTGTGCTGCACTGATGAGGTACACGAAGGACGAAACAGGTCTGTCCGCAAATTGAGTATTTGATATAGCATCATTGTCAATTCGGTTGAGCAGCACACTGCTCACCTGTGTCAGGGTAACGCAACCAGTGCCAGTTGTGTGGCCATAGGTGGGAAGACTGTCGAACTGCTGATGATGATCCCCAGCATTAACATTGGCAATGCATAGGAGTGGGCGGCGGTCGATGCACCTGGGCTAAACCCCTGCTTCAGAAATATTCTTAGAAGCCTCATCGCCATGCTGCCGACATTGTTAATTTGTTTTGTCTTTGCCTGTGAGAGGTCATGATAGTTCTAATACATTGTTGATTGGATGTAATCCGGTTGCTTTGGTGCTCACAGAGTTGTGCTCGGCAACCGAATCCTTGAACGACTTCAATGAATGCCTTCCATAACAGCTCCTCCGGTACGTTGATCAGTTAATGTGTGTTTGAGTCCTTCTTCACCATGTGTTACTCCAGTTGGGGCCAAAGAAACCTGTCCCATGAGCAGAAAGCAGCACCAAGGCCTGTGCGGCCCCTGCGGCCCTCGGATCGGTTTTGGAGCATGCATGATGTAATTGAATGGAAACGCGCCTCTGCTTTTGGACTCGTGGGTGGGATTTCTCTGGTCGCTCCTATAGTTCTTCAACATGTGGTATTATATGCTTTTCGCTCGGTCAGCACTATCAGTGCATCATCGAAAAGGCAACAAGAAATGGTTTGCTTTGCGTGCCCCCCTCCCACCCCCCCCCCCCCCCCCCAACATGCGACGTGTACATGTATGCTAACCGGAAGTGCTCCACTTCTTAGCAACACACCTTCTCCGGTTAAATAGACTACGAAATTCATTGACAAAGAATAACTCGAGAAAAAAGATGCCAACCACATGATCGCCATGGTGACAACACCATGATCAACATGTTGACAACAGCATGATCATCATGGTGACAACATCATGATCACCATGGTGACAACGGCATGATCACCATGGTGACAGCAGTCCAGGTCTTACAATACAGCGCTCTAGAGAATTGTCTGTGGTCTACTGGAGTTTGGTCGCTTTGTCGTTGTACGGGCTGGTCTGTATTCCTGCTTCATGCGTGCCCGAAAGCTCGTTCAGGTTTCATGAAAAGAAAAACTTGAGTGCGATCATTAGATTGCGTGGTAGCATTGAGTACTAATTGTGTGACCCTCTCCCAGTCAACTTGACTGGTTGCTACATGCCTGATACGATTGGAAAATTATACATGTCGGAATATCCATAGGAATTTTCATTGCTATCTTTCATTCCACCCACCACCCCCCCCCCCCCGCCCACCCCGCCAGTGTTGGGCATTTCGTTGGCATCCCAGTGTTGAACAAGATACACCCTCCCCCTACCTCTACCCCCTCCCCTACCCCCTCCCCTAGGCCCATTGCCAGACATGATATTGCCACCTCAGCGGCGGACATGGCATAGCCAATCCAGGCTGGGTGAAGATCATTAAATGGGTGAAGGTGGGTAAGGTGCGTGAACATGTGTAAGCATGTGTGAGCATGTGTGAGCATGTGTGAGCATGTGTAAACAGTGCAAGCATTCACATGACGCTCTGCACAGCTCTAATCCAATGAAGTGCTTTGTTTATTCTGCACAACTTACTGTACTTTCACTGCAAACAGGACAACAAGGGAAATGGTAGATGTCGCAGTGCTTGCAACAACAGACGACGTCACCGACCAACGGTATACAACCACAGGAGAGGCCAACACTATTCCCGTCAATTCCGTTTATGCCCGTGTGTTTGAAAATGCCGTGATGTCTGCCTCCCTAAACCTCAGCCCCACTGCCCCGAGTCGGGTCGTGCATGCTTCCCTAGCTGCATCTCGTGTTTGCCAGTTAAGTGGTCTTGTCGTTGAGCGAAGCAATTTCAGCCCGTGGGGACTGCAAGAAAGCATCCTCAAGTTCCATCTCCTGCAACTTCTTGTTAGGCTAAGATAACAGGCTGTGTACAATATAAATTACTAAATACAGGTTTCGGAGTACCACAGTGGAGAAACAATACTGTCTAGTTGCAATACTGTCTAGGTGCAAAACTGTCTAGTTGCAACACTGGGCTTCAACATAACAAGCTGTATACAATGTACATTATAATGATAGGTTTCTCAGCACCCCCCCCCCCCCCCCACTGTGGTAGTTTGCAATACACCGTGCAACATTCTGCTTGCACTCCCATTTTGCCCAGTAATGCTGGAATGCATGGTGTGAGATTCCTACTTGAAGTATGTATAATAATATGCTGTATCCTGGCTGGTAGTTTGCAATACACTGTGCAACAGGCTGCTTGCACATACAGTCATTATGTCTAGTAGTAATGCTGCATTGCTGGTGTGCATGGTCTGAGATGCCCTGCTGCATATGTGTAAAGTATGTATCCTGGGTCGTGGCTTGCAGTGCATGCCGTCACAGGCTGCTTGCATTCCCATTAAGTTAATACTAGCATTATGTCTAGCAAGACCGGTATGGCTACTTCCGAAGAAGTTGAGAGCTTGGGATACCTGGATCTAAGGTATGTATGAAAGATGCACTCGCAGCCATGCGCTACCTGTGGTATTCCCCCACGCATGGAAATAGTCATGGTATTGAACGAAGTGTACAGTCATTTTGCCCATCCCATTGCCAGGAACGCTGCTGCTGTCCCTTTGGCGTAACTTTATTCACTAATCTGACATTCACTCACACACGCTCTCACCCACTCTCGTACATGCACTCACCGCCAACGCACCAGTTGCCCTCTCTCTCTCCCCCCCCCCCTCTTCCTCTCTATATCTTTTTCTCTTTTCTCATATCCCTCTCTTTCAGACTCTCATGCTCACTCTCCCACTCACAACGGTGTGCGTTGGGTGACTTGATCACGAGACTACTCTGCAAAGGAGCACACTTGACCTTGACAGACTGCATGGCTTTTTATCACCTACACGCCCATTTTAGTGCTCTAAGTTCTTTGTTGTTGATAAGGGTTTCCTTCTTTCTATCTAGGTGTGTGCACATTCATAAAAATGGGAATATTTGCGGTTTTGTTGCTATCGTAGCTTTCCTGTCTGCTAATAGTGTCACCAGTGTCTTGGCCCATTTCCCTTTGGCTTTGGTGATCGAGAATGGGTTGCGTTCGGTCTTGTATGTATTCGGTTTGGTATTATGCGTGATGGGGATGAAATTATATGCAGCTAGGTATCATTAGGTATCATGCTACCATTCTCAGATACACTGCAAAGGTTCACACTACACGCGTTATGCATAACCGCTAGCTATGCTGCATTCTCACGCTTTTTTTTCATGCTACTCTAGCTATATAACTGGTTGTTTTAGTGATTCTTACTGTGTGACGGTGTTACACTGATGATAGTCACACGAAAACGTTCTGGAATTGTTTCATTTTAATTATTTATACATGGTTATGAGTGCACAATTGATCATTGCTATTTTTTAAAGTTGTTACACCAGCGCTTTGGCCGAGTGATTGTGGGCTTGACTGCGAATCACAAGATCCCGAGTTCGAGACCCGCGCTGTGAGCAGGGAGCGTGTACTGTGCTAGCAAATGCGGTGATGCATGCGTGAACCACTTTACATGCAGTGAACTGCGCCGACACCCACGGTCAACTGGGTACTCACTACTCGGAGTGAGGGTAACATGGATGCAGCTAACGAGGTTAGCCCCCTTGTCGGGCATTGGTTGTGAGACTGACCACCTCACACTCGCCGTTAGGCGCTGCATCTGCCACCCTGGCATCACAGGCATGGTGGTGGCCTGGCACATGCGAAACTTCCTAAGCTGGTTGTGTTTCTCAACGCAATTGTATAGCCGGTGGTAACGCGGACGTGCAAACTTTACTTACTTTACTTGTAGACGTATATTTAACGTCGCACCACAAACAGGCGGTTTGGCCTCCTGTGATACATGTGGAGTCGCTATGAGTCACTCCTATACATCCTCATGGATGCGCATGCAAGCCCCAACATGGGGGATAAACGTACACGCCTCCCCCCCCCCCCCCCACACACACACACACCAACACGCACACATGTACACGTACACACAAACACACGACCACATGCACGCACCCCCCCCCCCCCACACACACACACGCACACAACACGCCATGTGCAACGCACTCTCGTGGTCTCCATAAGCAATATCAGCACACAAAAATAAAATAAAAGAGTTGTGCGAGGTGAACTGCTACGTGAAAAGAGAGGGATGGAAACGGCTATGCACGGACAGCACCTTTAACCTAATCGTGCACATCCTTGTAGATGTAAACATGTAGCAAGGTAGATACCCTGCTTCAGTTAGATAATTATGACCGTTCCCGGATGATTGATAACTCAAGAAACTTACAGCTTTTTGTTTTCTCTGTGGTGAGGACCGCTCCCATAGTGTAGCTAGGTAGATAGATAAATAGAGAGAGAGAGAGAGAGAGAGAGAGAGAGTGGATCATTTGTGAACACAGTTGGGAAAAGGAGCTGCTCAGAACATACCTATTAGGGGATTTAGAAAAAAGTTGACTTCGGATAGGAAGTGCGCTGATTTCCCACGCTCCTGCCTTCCTTTGGTCGCCGACTGTAGCGTTCTCTCCGCAGCGGGGGGGGGGGGGGGGCATAGGCCTGTTCGAAAAATGCAAAATGTACCCCAAAATGCCCAAAAATTCAGAACATTTTTCGGACAGGCCTAGGGGGGGGAGGGGGGGGGGGTGGGTGCATGGGGGGGAGGGGGGTGGGTGGGTGCATGGGGGGAGGGGGGTGGGTGGGTGCATGGGGGGGGGGGGAGCTTGTAGAGTTTTGTAGAGAAGATACAGAAGAACCAGCTGGTCACGATCATGTTGTGAGGCAAAGAAGCCTTTTCGATATCAGCGCAAGAATAAAAAAAAAGAAGCGAAAAAACTCAAAAAACAGAGAAGATCCAATACACTGTACCTATGGAAACATAAAGGCCAAATTGGCGGTCGTTTGAAAAGCCAGGAAGTATTGAATTTGTAGTAATATAATGCGCATAGTTCATACAGTGTGTGTACACACAGACACACACAAATATTACACATCACAATAATTATGACACCACGTTGACGCCGGATGTCCTGAGCACTGTGACACTCTACCTTTTCCCAGTATTCCTGTTCAGAGTGAGCAGAAAAACAACAAAAGAGTGTACAGTGCACAACACAAGCTAGGCATTGCATTCCGTACTGGTTAGCAGTGAGTGGGTTCGATTACTCACTTGAATTGATGCATGAATCGATTCCAGTGCATTCAAGTCGTTGATTTTCATGTCATGAGCCCTGGATTCGGTTAGGAATCCACCCTATCCACATGGGGTGATGTGAATAGCGCGAATCGATTAATGAATCAATTCGCATGAATAAGGCATAATCGAACATACTAAATGAGAAGGGAAGGCATGTTTTCCAGATCCACAACACGAGCAGTCGGATAATGCAGTCCAGTACACATACACTTGAAAACTATGGCATACTTAACACGGAGATGACGGTGCCATAGCCAATGCTGTTCGGGCGACTCTTTGCTCTAAACACATTATGGTGGGAGTGACTTAACTTAAAGATATCAATCAGTGGGATGGGACTTCCCCTGGATAAGTGGTATTTCAGTTTCGCTAGCCATGAGTGTTATTACCTATGTTGCCACAGCGTAACCACCGATTCCGCTGGGCTTGCTGTGAAAGGTCCCATTCCTTGCATGGTAGAGGCGACGGTTCGATACCGGAACTGCTTGACAGCCAAATTTGTATAGACCCAAACCGATCATCAGCGTTGATTGTTCACTCGAAATATTATGTTTTAAGAATGAAACGGGCATGTTGAAGTTTGCTCTGAGGCCAGAGTCAATCGAACTGAGCCACTCTTTTGTGTTGACCCATTGCCTCCAATTTGCCCAATTTTTCGCTTCAACTCTTAGGTGGCTCCATACCGGACAGGTTTTAGAGTGCACGTCGAATTCACTCTGGGTCTGAAATTAGGTAATTGCTATCGCTCCATGACGGCCAGTACAGAGTAACAATAAGCCTTGTGTGTGCTTCCATTAGTTTTGATTGGTATGCGGTGCTTTATTGGCGAGATGCAAGCCGCTGTTTACCTGCGACAAGAAGTTGATTTTTCGAAAGTCGTAAAACTCAAGTCGCAGTGCAAAGCAACACGGCAAAAACTCACCTGCTTGGTATGGCGCTTCTGGTCATCGCAGAGCCATGAAATTTTGGCTCGGAGTATAACATCGCAGTCTCAATGTGACATAATGTTTTCTAATCCAAATACCAAGAGAGAAAGTGAATATCGAGTCCATTCCGGTTTGCAACCTAGGTCCTTTTTGAAACCGTCGCCTCTATGTCTTTCATGGCATACCAGGAGAGGCCGAGAAATTCATGGCGACTCATTTCACTGCAGTTTGTGCGCAAATCAGTTCCTCAAAGTTCATTACGAAGTTTTGTTATCAGAGGAAGTAACTTGTAGTTCCTCTTCTCTTTACAACCAACCAGCCAACCAACCAGCCAACGAACAAGACCGTACTTACATGATGCACGCGATATTATTATCCCTGCAAGGGTGCACACTGATTGTACTGGTTGACAACCTGGCCAGCTCCACACACTCCTGTTAGGTTGCAGGGCAAAGGGAGAAACCACTCATCACACATCTAACAGTGTACTACACACGTACATAAACCCATTGGAGAAGTGCACACGATGGTTCCATTCTAAATTATGTAGATAGTGAATGGTGAAACAGCGAGGTTCCAGGCTGTCCAAGAGAGAGCTCAATAGCGAGAGGCAGAGCTAGTTCGAACAATCAAAGCTCTTTTTGTTAGATATTGAATGGTGATGGGAGCAGCTGAGAATTGAGGACACCTGTAAATTGAGGTCATTTGGCCTCAGTCCAATGGGTGTCCCTAATTGTCAGGTTCGACTGCGCATGCAACAGCGCCTTTCTACCGGTACACAAGAATCAAGTATAGTGTTTAATCTGTTTGGAACGGATAGTTGCTTGATATTACAGACAATGCTGAACTGTGGACATTGAAAGCAAAAGATGTTGCCTACTTACTGCCAATGCATAATGAGTGACTTCAGAAGATTTCACTTACATAACAATTATACTTTTTCCAAATCTGATCTTCACTACATGTACATGCCACTGAACAAGTAGTGGGGATTCCCCCTAAGATTGAAATGCATTGGAGCAGTGACTCTAGGTATGATGTGTGTTCTAGACTTGAGAAGATGTCACATTGCGAGTACAGTTCAAAATTCGGATCTGGGCTTCATGCGCCCGAATATACAGTGGGCATTACGCCGTGGGATTGAAATGCCTTGCAGCAATGACTTACTGATGCAGACGGGGCTGTACTCGGTGTTCGGAACAAAACCCGAGAATGAGTAGCGTTTCCTTGAGAGAATCCTTGCAATCCTGAATCTTGGCAAATTGCCGGGCCTGATCGGCACATTGTAGGGCGGGTTTACACCCAGCCTGCCCAGAGAAAACGAAATCAGAGTAACGTAGTTATCCGCCCATGCAACCGGCGCTGTCATGTTCATGGCAGCGCACAGCCCGGTAAGCGTCCACAGCTGAGAGCCGCGTATGCCCGCTCCAGACTTGAGCGCTAGGCGAGCGCTCGCCGGACGTCCGCCGTACCAGATGGTTGTGAACCTCCACGTGGCTGTGAACACATACACGCACACACACACACATGCACACACACACACACACACACACACACACACACACAAACACACATATATACACACACACAAACACACGGTTTGGCTTTGCGAAGTAAAATAAAAATCAACAACACACAAACACACACGCACACACACATGGACACAAGCTCACACACACATGCACCATTGACCGTTTGACCATTTGACGCCTATCGCCGGAGGCGATGATAGCAATACTATGGCAGAAGCCATAGCAACTTGTGCATGGATTGTACCCTTCAACCGCTTGGAAGGCTGAAGAATTGATCACCACTATTCAGCCGGGTCTACACCACAAAGCTATGAAGTTGCTTTTTCTGGCCAGTGAATCCCTACTTTTTGGTCTTTTTCATGTTTTCCGGCACATACATCACACCACAAACTCCGGCATGCCCTGGCTGTTGGCAACCACGCAGGAGATTGAAAGAAATGTCAGGAGGAGTATGAGAAAAGGATGATAGACATATGTGACCATAATCGTCAGGAATCGAACCCGCAACCTCTCCATTGGAAATCGCTGCAAATATCACTGCACCATATGGGACACCCCCCCCCCCCCCCACACACACCCAAACACATGCACACACGCGCACGCATGCACACACCATGTATGTACCATGTATACTTGGTCCGCGTCAGCAATATTGTCGCTTATCTTTCGACCATTTGAACTTCGACTTTGACACCAACGCGTATACTTGAGAGGATATAACTTGGTAAGATGGAAGGTAAGGTACAGAATGACAACTGGTCATGAGGAATTTGTTGTCCAAGGAAGGGTTCATACTTGTTTTGGTCCTCCTCGTCGCTCCTATCAGAGCTGGTGACAAATATTTTTTGATCGGGATCGACAATCTCGCTTTCGGAAGCTCATCTCTCTTCCTCTCATCTGCCTGGCGATTTTCTAAAGGGAAGTCGACCGTGACGATCGCCTTCTCTAAAGGACTGCGCGTGGGCAGCAGGACTGCCTGTGTGGTTCAAATCAGTCGCCGTCCTTTGCAAGATTTATTTTGAACGACGGTGACGCGTACAGTACTTGCAAATCTCCACGATTTGCTGGATACTTCGACAAAGAGCTGAAGGTGAGGGCACTGCGATCTCAGCTTGGCGAGCGATCCCTGAGGTGAGCAATCTCGGCTGTTTTGCAAAATGGAACAGATTCCGAGTAGCCGATTACTTTCTTGTGCGTCGCGCTGCTCTTGCCTGCGCAGTGTGACAAGATAATCTATTTTGATACGGCGCTGTATCAATCAGAATCCCCCACGCATCGCTCTCGAAATCCACTCGAAATCTAGCTAGACCTTTCAGGTACATATACTAGGGAGCTAACCTACTAACCAAAATTGGGATGAAATGGGCTGCCAAGTGAGCACTGGCGACATTATAAACAACGCTGAAAGATAAGCGACAATACTGCTGACGCGGACCAAGTACGCCCGTCGCAAGAGAAGCACGCAAATCTGCAAATGCACAGGATGTGCACCCACAGATTTTCTCGTTGCTTCACAAATCGTTTCCATACGATTTCTTCTATTTTAAGTGGTCTTTGACCACTTGCTGGTGAGCTGATCTACTCACCTCCCACCGCTTTAGGAGCTGCATCTGCGCCTTGATCGTTGAAGGGTGGTGGCGTTCCTACGGATGTGGAAAACTCGGCCTAGCCGAGTCTCACGCGAACCATGAATTATTTTCATTTTTATCCGAGTGTAATTCAAAAGAATGGACACAATGTTACGAGTTGCGACTATTTCTCCACCAACGGTACCTAGTCAAAATTATACGGATACAGAGCGGGACAAAAATAAGCAAACTGGCAAAGAATACTGTGACATTCGGTGACCTGACGCCTAGCTCCAACACTTCTACAAGGCGCCAACCAACCACCTTCCAGCTGGAAGGCTGAGGTCAGGAAAGTCCAAGAGGGGAAGAAGAGCGCATCGAAGAAGAGCACTAGCGGAGTCTCATAGGAACAAAGAATGCCGAAAGTCACTCTGTTGGAGTAAGACTGGTATTTCGTTTTAAGTCGTCATCATCGTCAAATCAACATAAATTCTACAAAAATTCAAGTCGCTACCCTATTCTAGTGATTATCCGGCGTCACTGGCCGAACAGTGCAAAATACGTCAAAGGCTAGGGCAGAGCATACCACTGAGCAGAGAGGGAGAGGAGACCGTGGTGTGACTCTGAGTTCTGTCTCTCTCTATCGTGCATCTGTACCGTAATCCACTGCTACTTCCTCAATGGTGTAATAGTGTTAGGTACATCCTCCCATACGTTCACAGTTGATCTCTCTCCCTTGTCTCTCTTCCACAATGTCTTCAATTCGTTCGTCTTGGTCTCTGTCTCTCCGTCTCCCCAATAAATGTTGTTCGACCTAACCTGTTCCCGTTGTCTATTGTAATGCCTGAGAGTATGTCTTTTATTCACCATGGTTGGTTAACACCCACATCTCCCGTGCTGGCTGATTTTCTTCTCATGCCATGAGGTGTTGTCTATAATAATAATAATAATAATAATAATAATGCCGTCGTCCTTTTTCGTACTCAACATTGGCGGCCGACTGTTAATCGACCCACGACCCTGAGATCCCATGCCCAGTCGTCCGCAACCGCCATTCGTCTCGTCTATGTCAACCTCGTCTCGTCCATGTCAATCTCGTCTCTTCTCCAACCTCGTCTCGTCCCCAACCTCGCCTCGCCTATGTCAACCTCGTCTCGTCGTTTGTAATCCTCATCTCGTCTCCAGCCTTTTCTCGTCTATGTCAACCTCGTCTCGTCCATGTCAACTTTGTTTCAGCTATATCCACTTCGTCTCTTCTATTTCAATCTCGTCTCATCCAAGTCATGCAGGTCAGCTATTTTCTTTATTTCTCTCTTTCTTTGTCATCCGTCCTTCGTCGTCAAATTTATTTTCAGTTTATTCTATTTTGTGATTTTTGTAGTGTGTGCGCGAGCAGGTGTCTTTCATCAATATCAGGGGTCCGATGGTGAGCCACGCTCATTTATTCATGTCCTATAAGTGTAACTATGCTGGTTAGCCATGCTAGTACAGAACACAGTGTTCCTTTGAACTCGTAGTTTTTAGTGCCAATTTCAATGTGAACGGGTCTTTGGCCCGCCTTTGGCAATGTTTGCGCCATAGCACTAGTTTGAGTGATGCGTATCATAGAATTATTGAACTAGTACCAGAATAGGAATGTGATAACTGTAGTGCATGTTTAGTACAACGCTTTTGTGTGTGTGTGTGTTTATTTTTCTCTACTTCCTCAGTCATTTTTTCTCTATTCTTTCTCATCGCCTTATTATTTCCCGCGAGGTCGAGGTTCTTTTTTTGCGCAGGGGAGGTATGTTAGGTACCTCCTCCCGTACGTTCTACAACCTTATCCCGTACGTTCTACAACCTTATCCAAGCTCACCTGCATGCACTCTCGTACTCACCTTTTTGTCTCCTTTTGTTCCGTTGGCCTGGGTAGCTACTTGCGCACCCATAATTGCCATAGCTACCCAGGCCCTTTATCTTGCCGTTCACACTTGATCTCTCTCTCTCTTCAATACTTTTTGGTCGACCTAACCTGTTCCCGTTGTCCATTGTAATATCTGGAGAATATGTCGTCGTCCCTTTTTCGTACTCGACAATAGCAAGAGATAGAACTCAAATAACTGGTATAATTCCTTCAGCACTAATACCTTCTAACAAGATTAAACAAAGTGTCTGAAGTGTTTGCTGCAGATAGTGCTCTACCCCCTAACAAGGGAAGAGAGTACTAAGCAATTGTGTGATGAGTGTTTTTGTTAACACGAAACTCGGAGTAACGAGAAAGCTTTTGGTATATGTCGTTCTGCCTTGTGTAACAAGATTAAACAAGTGTACACGTCTTTCCGCACCGTACCACTCAAAACTTCACCCCGCCCCACACCCATACTAAGCCATGGCTACTCGGGTGCTGATACACAAAACTCAATGTTTAATAACATCACCGAGGCAGAAGGCTTATGTTCTGCGAAAGTGCTCCATACCTGATTCAGGCAGAGCGGCGTACACAAAGGCACACAATGAAAACCTTGGGCAAATTGTCTGATGATTGGTTCCGCCATGAAACTCTGAGTCGCAACGGAATTTGCCAAGGTTTCATAGTGTGCCCTTGTGTATTTAATAACATCTTCATCGCTGCAATTCCATAGGCAATGACTACTGCTTGTGGTCACTTACATCCACATACGACATCGGAGGGTGGGTTGGCGTGGAGACTGGCTACGGTAACTCTAGCGGTTCCTTCCTTCCGGTTGATTTCGTACAAGGACCTACCACCATTGGCATTGCTCAGCCAAATAGACAAGGACTGGTGAAATCCTTGGAAGAGCAGAGCACTGGCCAGCTTGTTGAATGCGCCCGCAGTGACGGTGGCGGCCGGATTCGACGCGATGCTCATCGCCCAGGCGGCACAGGCTGCCTGCGCACCTTGCCAACCATGGCGACTGTGCAGGGCGCATTCACTGGGCGACTTGTCCTGCGGCGAACAGCGTGCGTCTGGAGCCACCCAAACGCTGATTTGCTTGCTGTCCATATTCGTGTAACTACCAAAGGCACCTACACACATATAAGAAAAGAAGAAGAACTAATGGAAAGCGATCCAATGAAATGATTTCTTCATTTTACAATGATCACAGCTCACAGGCAAAGACGAAAAAATTGCATAGTGGGAGCATAGTGATGGTGAGGCTTTTTGCCCTCAGCCGACCTGAGATCTCGGCGTCATGGGGACATAAAACGCACCAAAAAGAAATAAGAAGACGAATGAAAGTAGTGACAGGTACATGACACGAGATGTTAGGAGGAGAGACTATATAATTATGATGAATTAGAGCTATGAAGAGTGTAATCGATGGAGACATGGCCACAAAAATTATGGAAGTTGTACAGTTGACATTGTTGAGTAATATGCTGCTGCATGTACAATGTATGTAACTGTTTGTAGCTCCTATTCTGTGTAGGTCTAGTGACTGGCTGTTCCAATGAACTATAGTCACGCATGCAATATCATAGACCAAGCCAGTGGCTATAAGTCTCTTCTCTGCGCTAGAGTAATGCATTCATTATGGTTCTTTTCTTTGTCCTAGTATGGTGTTGGCCCCAGCCATCTAGTCGCGCATGTATTACTCTTCTGTCCCATGCGTAGTGCAGTGCTTGGGTGCGCGTGTCATGTATAGTGGGTTTGGTTCCTGATTGTTCGGTGCTGCACCTGTCATGTCTGCTGCCAGTGCTGGCTTGCGAGGTCATGTCGGGTGCGTTCGCTTCCGCTGCATTCATAACTTTCTGCTGTACCGTACCGAAGCTGATGTATTGGTAAGTGCTGCATGCGATGTGCTAGGTCCAGACGTAGTACAAGTACCCTTCACCTTTTGATCGTGCCTGCACGTAATGTTGCACACTACGCGTTGTTGCCTTTTTTACTTCTTGCTGGTGACTGGGAGATTCTTGGTGAAGTTTCTCGTTCGGAGTAGTTCAGTCTTTTGGTCATTCTCTCTTTTAATTTAGCTTTATCAACATGTAGCAAATTTATCTCCAAGCCTCGGCTGTCCTGGTGGTTGTGTGCCAGTGACGTGTAGGTGTGTGACTGAGGAGGGGGAAATTTTGTTTACAACAGAGGTTAAAAAGGAGTGATACTGAATATAATGATCACTACTCTTCATTGACAGGAGCACAATACAGTGCCTAGAAGAAACCCTTGACGATCGACGAGTCGATCGAGCATTTCCGAACGAGACGTGCAGGGGACAGGATGGGTTTGCCATAGATAATGAAGATGATACCATAACATTGAACACCAAAAGGAACAACAATAACAACAGTAACAACAGTAACAAACAATGGCCTTCTACACCGCTTCAACTGGCCCACTCTCTTGTGCATGTAGTTGTATTTGTTGTATTTCAAGGATCACCCAGAGGTTCCAGGCCTATGGTGGAGATCTACTACTCGCAGACATGTCATGTGCTTGGGAACAGAGTGCAACAGTACAAAGAAAGAAGGGAACGAAAAGAAAGAAAAGAAAGAAAAGAAAGAAGGGAACGAAAAGAAGCCGACACAGTAATTGCGCTTTTCTCACACTTCAAAAGTTTGCTCACTCCATTCGCCACCAGGATTCCCCGCCTGATATTCTGATGCTCGTAACCCCTAATCATGTTCGGGCTATAGCTTTCGAGACACCAGCATTTGGCATTTGACAACTGAAGGAATGAACCGCTGCCTGTGGTACAAGTCCCGTGATGATTTCAATTGCCTCCCATCAACGTTCCGCAATACTCCGTCACAAATTCTATTCAGTCAAGAGATTCTATTCCTGCTGCTCAGCTTCATCTGCTCATGCAACAGCCATGCTCACCCGTACATCTAGTTAGCATAGTGCTATTAATGCAAGTCCCTTAACTCTTAACGGAATGCACACACTTTTGTTGAACACGAATGATCGATAAATTCAACATTTTCAAAATATTTCCTAACTATCGTAAATCGGTCAATTCTCAGTGGTTTGGAGAGAAGGAATGTTGTACATGTAGGAAGAATAGAAAACCCTTAGGTGTTGTCTCTACCAATCACCTTAATCACCGCATCACTGATGGTGGTGCCCCCATGGCATATCCAGTGTTCACGTTCCATACAATGACCAGTGCCTGACTAAATATGGAAAGCAAGAAATGTCAAACTTACGCTTTTCACAACGCTGGCCTACCCAACCCGGGAGACACCTGCATACGGGAGCATTGGGCACGGATGTGTCCACGAATCCGAAATCACACAATACTGAAGCGCACAGGAGTACAACAAAATATACAGTATAATATTAGTCTGATAAATCTGATGATTGTATTAGCGTGAAACTTTGAGTTACGACAACTCCAAACTGGACCTATATCTCTATTTTTTGTTTTGTTTGAAATGTTCTGCACTTTGAGCATCGAGCACTTTGCCGGGAATCTCCAAAATTACTCCTCGGTAATAAATTATTTGTGCTTATAAGTACATCCAATGACACAATCATCATGCTACCGTTCTCCTCTGTTCTCCACCCTTTTTCTTAATTAACCTCATGATCACATTCGCTCCCTTGTAATTGGGCTTGTAGCCCGTGTGTACTTGCAAATTCAAATAAAAATTATACATACATACATGTACATACATGTCGAGACGACAGTTGAAAGTGTGGGTGGCAACATTTGTGCACTGTTCAGGGTAGGTTTTTCCATTTCATCTCTGACCCGGGACACGCGAACACTCCTGGGCTAAACCAGTATAATGATTGTATCAAAACGGTTCACCCCGGAGGGCATCATCAGCGATGGAGAAGACAGAAATATGAAAAATAATATATAAGACAGGACGGACAAAATTTACCTTAATGCTTGCAGTATGCAACATGTTACGTGCTAGCACTAAGACATAACAGTGTAAGTGTGCATTTTTTTAGTGGAAAGCTGATGTGAGACAATCGTGTTTGAGTTGGTAGCTGTGTGTGTGTGTGTGTGTGTGTGTGTGTGTGTCCAATCGAAAGGTTGCGGGTTCGATTCCCGACGATTATGGTCACACACGTCTTTCTTCTCTTTCTCAGACTCTTCCTGACTTTTCTTTCCTTCTCCTGGGTGGTTACTAACAGCCAGTGCATGCCAGACTATGTGGTGTGATGTGTGTGCGGGAAAAAAAAAAAAGACCAAAAAGTAGGGATTCACTGGCCAGAAAAAGCCACTTCATAGCTGTGTGGTGTAGACCAGGCTGAACAGTGGCGGTCAATTCTTCAGCCTTGCAAGCTGTTGAATGGTGCAATCCCTGCACAAGCTGCTATGGCTTCTGCTGTAGCATCGCTATCATCGCCTCCGGCGATGGCCGTCCAATGGTCCAATGGTGTGTGTGTGCGCGTGTGTGCGTGTGTGCGTGTGTGCGTGTGTGTGTGCGTGTGTGTGTGTGCGTGTGTGCGTCCGTGTGTGTGTGTGTGCGTGCGTGTATATCTATACTGTATGTATGTGTGTCTGCCTGTCTGGCTGTGTGTGTGTGTGTGCTTGTACGTATATGGATGTACATCAGTGCGAATCAAGTGTTGAGTGTGTTAACAGTCCAAGCATCCCATATCCCGGATAATGCTCTTGAAAGCCTGATTGTGCACGGAATAGCATCCAGTAATATTTATAAAATGGCAATAAATAAGATAAATTGTGCACTCATATCAACAGCAAAAAATGAAGAAAGTCAAGTTCCATAACGTTTTCTTGTGACTGTCATCAGTGGAACGCCGTCAAATAAAAATGTAATAACTAAAACACACACTTATATACATGTAGCTAATAATATTATGGTTTCAGGTAGAAATACAGCAGCTAACAAGGACAAAAAGCGAAGTTTGCACCTTTGCAATGTGTGAATATAGTGTATGTGAGAAAGGTAGTGGCAGATGAATGCGATACTTTGTGAATGAATGTAATCACACTCTTCAAGTAATACACACGCACCATTACATTCATTCACACAGTATCGCATTCATCTGCCACTACCTTTCTCACACACACTATATTCACATATTGCAAAGGTGCAAACTTCGCTCTTTGTACTTGTTAGCTGCTGTATTTCTACCTGAAACCATAATATTATTAGCTACATGTATATAAGTGTGTGTTTTAGTTATTACATTTTTATTTGACGGCGTTCCACTGATGACAGTCACAAGAAACCGTTATGGAACTTGACTTTCTTCATTTTTGCTGTTGTTATGAGTGCACAATTTATCTTATTTATTGCCATTTTACGACTATTGTCTCCACATCGATTGTTTAAGTAATATTTATGATGATTTAAATTCAAAACATCTGGGTTTGGAAACTGCGTCCAAGATAATGTTATTGTAATTATGGACTCTGATCTTTCTTTACTATGAATTTATTTTTTATTACTTTTGGCATATCGTCCTAACCATATACTCTGGTTCAATTTCTTTATGGACTCGGACCTCTAACGTTACCCCCCCCCCCCCCACCTTCCAAGTTGGAATGCTGTTGGAGTGTGCATCCAAGATGTGCTAGAGCTGACGGCCAGTTAGTTGTAGAATGTCAGTACCGTCGGTCAGTGTCGTGCAATGTTATCGCACCAGCTGATTGTTTCGTAACTGGTGGTGTTAGTGGACCTTATGGCGAAACTTGTAGTTTCTTGGTCCTTTTTTTCTTTACTATCAATTTCTACTTACCATTTGTTTTTATTGCAGCCTCAAATGCGCAAGTTTCCAGGGTCACACAATGCAGGAGGATGTACTGTTGGTTTCTCAATTTCTACAACAGTCACTTCACTTTAGAAATTCTGTAAAACTGGGAATTTTCGGGAGTTTAATATTTTCAGTGTTTCCCAAAATCAACGGTTGGATAGAGCACAAATTTCCGTAAACCAGTTTTCTGGATCCAAAACTGCATTGTGCACATTGCGTGGCTGTGGCTTTTTGAAGTTTCGGTCGTTTTTATGTTTGGTAAAAATCCCCTGTTCCAAAGGCTAGGAAATTAGAGGCCACATGCCTCACACTGCTCTTTTCTCTGCCGTCTAATTTCCTAATACTTTGAAATTCTCCGTGAAGTCCAAAATTGAAATTTCAATAATATTAAATTTCGTGTTTGCTCGCAGCGGACATAGTGGATATGCGCATCTCATAACATCAAGCGAATGGCCGAGGGTCCTCTAGAGTGGTGTAAGTTGCCCGTATGATGCAAGCTAGATATTGAGTGATCGAAGAAGGATAGATTTACCATCACTGTGGATAAGAGTCATACTGTAGCTCAGTTGGTTAGAGCATTGCCCGCGAATAGCAAGGTCCCTGGTTCGAGTCCCGGTGGTGTGACTCATGATTTTTTCTTTCTTTCATATCTGGCTTGCAAGTGTTGAGTTTCGGAGAGAAAAGAGCAGTACGAGACATGTGGCCTCTAATTTCCTAAGGCCACACTTCGTTTTTTCTATGTTTCTCGTCGGAAAATTTTAACAAAATGTATGCGGGCGGGCGGAAAAAAAACAAAAGCCAAGGAAAAAACAAGAACTGAAAACTGTATACATTTTACATGTATATGCGTGATTCATACAAGACGCTGCGCATACCATCTATACAGTACTACATTGTACATGTAGTCCCATACATGATTGCACTACGTTATCACATCAGCCCACGAATATTAATTTAGGCAAACTGCAACAATGAGAGTATAAAGTTTGATGAATACGAGATGGCGAAGAGAACATACATTTATCTGCTATCGCATCAACAAACGCTTTCCCACTCGTCATTTTTGGTTTTGTTACTTCAACGTTCTTGTACCCACGCTGCTCATCTTTTCCTCACCATGGCCATGCGTCTATTCCTTGGATTTTCTGCCCACGACATTATTCCACAGACGCCAGTTGCCACGGAACTCGTCCGACTTGCGGTATTCCTGGGACCTACGAGGCTTAGGCAGTGAACGACTGAAAGTGAAAGCTTCGTCATGGCAGCCTTCATCGCAGAGAACGGACGGGGAGCGTTCCTTTGCTGCTGTGATGCAAACGTTTACGATTTTGATTGACGCATCTATCTAGCTGCTGCAGCAGCATGTGCACCATACATACATGTACAGTCATGTACATAGTATGAACTTGTTTTCTTCCGAAATTTCTGAAAACCTACGCGGGCGATGACGAGAAACATAGAAAAAACAAAAGCGTGGCCTCCTAATACTTCGAAATTCTCTGTGAAGTTTTAATTTGAAAAATGTACCGAAGACTAGGCCTTGGCGGATAATGCTCGAAAAGGTGGCAGATTCTGCTTTTTTTGCACCGAAATTGGCAGAACCATACAAACCTTATGGCGGGCAATTCCTCGAATTCTGCTCCATTTCTTTATCCACATACCAAACATGCATAAAATTACCAGAAAATGTACTTAATTCTGCCAATTTTTCTGCCGGCATTATCCGCCAAGCCCTACCGAAGACACCGACAATTTTATATCCACCGAAATTTTCCGGATTTACATTATCAAAGTAGTATTAGGGCACCAGTTCCGAACGAAAGAACATGCGTGACTCGGGGCTTACCAACGCAGAAGAATGGGTGGGTGCTGCTCGTATCGGTAGCACCAAACCTCACCAAATAACCCGTTTTATCTAAAACGATAAGGCTATATGGGCCAGCTGTTGGGCTTGACATGTAGAAAGGCCCGTCCAGTTCATCTGCGAGTCTGGCGTACACACTACGGAGCTCGTGTCGCCAACTGAAGAGCACTCGCTGTGTTCCAATGTGGTAACCGATGCTGGAACAATGGCTGGCCGCCTCCGCGTAGGTCGCACGACCCTGGTTCGTCCTGGCGACAGAGAAACGGCTGAACGGGCTCAGCTTTTCTGGCATGAAAGTCCACTGGAGATCGGTATCTGTAAGTTGCACATGAGGAAGAAAACAAAACAAAAGCACGTGAACAAGCATCAGTTAGAGATCAACAGCCAAATGTCTGAAGTATGAAAAAAGATTTCCCGCACCTTGAGTCAAACCTCGTGGACCTTGCCATGCACCACCAAAGCATTAGGTCCCAGCGAGATGTATGTACTATCAAGAGTACATAACCCCCATATTAGAGTGTGCAACTGCCTGCACACCCTGCACAACCTCTATGTAGTGCTACGGCGGCAGAAGTTCACATCACGTGACATGGTTCAAAAGGTTACACTGGCAAACAGTGCAAAGTGACCACAAGAGAGTTGTACCCAAAGCTGGGTTGCGTACGTATAGGATATTACCCAAGTACGAGGGTGTTACCTCCCGAATATCATCCCGACTGCGTAGCAGGAGGGATGATATGAGGGTACGGTAACACCCGAGTACGCGGGTCAATATCCTACTTATCCCAGGTACATCTACGCATTTTGGGGATCGACGCAACTGCGTTCTGAATACAATTACCAAGGTACAGCTATACCAAAAACAAGATGCTGCCTTTCTTTTCAATCCAGTCAAGGTTTGAGAGCGATGGAGCTCGGGAGACAAGTTGCATTTTTGTAGTTGGACTAGAGAATTGACGAAGATTGCACTGTTATGATACATAATCATTTGGTTCAAAGTAAGGGCCATACTTCAAGTCACGGTGAGATACAACGTCATTGTGGATACTGGTGCTGACTTCCTTGTCATTGGATCGGCGTGGAACTTTCAACGGTTTGGGATCCTTGCTGAACACTGTCCGTGCAGGCAGTAACCACATTGTACATATCGTCGGACATAGGCACCAGTGAGTAAAGTGCATTTCGTTGTATCAAGACTCTTGGTTGTATCACTATCGGCCACTATGCAATCAGAAGAACGTTGATCTTGTTATATTATAGGCATACTGGATTTGTAGCAGCATCTACGTTTTAGATTTTTTCTTGTGGCAATCGTGCTGGATACGATGTCATGATAATCACTGCGGGTCGCATCTTGCATTCATATCTTATCTACATCACACATGGATTGCTGAGCTCTTCTTCTTTCACACTGTCACAGTGAATATTCTGTACAAGATTTTTCCTCTCACTTTCACGTCTTGTACTTTTCGAGTTGTTGCGGTATCTCTCCTTGCAATTACATGTAGTAATTTTCACTCGGATGGTGATACTTTGTGTAGTTTTCGAGTTTACAAAGAGAGAATGAGAACTGATGCACTTCGAAGTCTCCTTTGTGTCGTAGTGTTGAGTTGAATAGTGATTGGAGTTCGTTGTTTGTTTGTGTGGAATCTGGTTTTGGACGTAGTCGCGGAGGTAAGTTTAACTTTTACTGTACCGACGGTGCACTCTGCATTGGCATGCTCTCACCCTCTCACGGTTCTGTGTAGTGCATTTGGTCGCTGGGTTCTGATCGAAAGGACTCCAGTGGCAAGATGCATTGCATCGAATCGAGAGGGGGTGGGGGCATGCCAATGCAGGGTGCACCGTAGTAGGTACGGTAAAAGTGAACCCAGTTAATAATGAATATCATCCCGCGCGGGATTGTTTTGGCTATTATTTCCCGGTCAGCAAGGCTCCTGATTGGCTGAAACAGGCCTATAGTACCGTACCATGGGATAAAACCCTGTATCAATCATGCACAGAGTGCAAATAATGTGTACGGGTTCATCATAATTATGATGTGAAGTTCTGCCGTCGCAGACCCCATAGCTATTATAGCTGGAGTTGCACACTCTTGGCGGTTATGTACTCTTGGTACTACTGGTACTACTGGTACTACTGGTGTGTTTTGATCGCTTTTCGTGTAAAACAACCGTAAGTAGAAGGGAGGGTAACATGGATGACATGATGATCCACTGGCCATGGGGCTTTCAGGGGCGTCAACACTCCACTGCAGGTCTGGGAGTTGTGCGAGCACAGGTACACATAATTTCGACTATGGGCTTTCGGAGACATCCTGCCTGGGCTTTGAGAGACTTTCAGCTAGACATGAATGATATCAAGAGTAGATAAACAAGAGTGTGCAACTCGCGGATGGGTAGGCCCACGGCGGAATTTTTTGTGGACGTAATCTTTTCGACGACGCACGCGCTGAGAGTCTTTCAGAAAGTTTTCCCTCGTGCTCTTGGCCGGGCTTTACACTACAAGGTCGGTGTCCAGCACGTGCTCTCGCACTGCTCTGCGGCAAAATGCGCGCTTCTCTGAAAAAAGGTGACGTCGACAAAAAATTCCGCCGTGGGCGGGGGTATCTGCAGATTGTGCAGGAGAAATCCGGAGTTGCACACTCTTGTTTATCTACTCTTGATGATATGTTACTAGTGAAGGGTCTAATACTTACATGCATAACAATGTCATGTTAGCACATACATTATTATAGGTTCTGACTCCTTTCAGCACAGTAGGCACAAACAAGCACTAGTGAGCAATTCAATGGAAACCATAATTATTCACACGTCATCAAGAGGCTGCTCGCATACATGTGTCATAATGTCGAGGAATTGGTCATTGGTCTCTCTCAGACTCTCTAGGTACTTACCTTTGGCATTGGAGATGGCAATGACGCACAATGCCAGTGCGACCATCAACAGTCCACTTTGATAGTTCTGTGCAATAGCCAGGAATATCACGCGCAGAGACGAAAGAATCTAAACATGGCACCCGCGTGACCATCCCCAATGAACTGGAGCAAAGATTCCGTGCCTGCTGCAAAGGAGCAGCTTATGTGTAATATTTTGCTCCCCCGAAACAAACTGCAAAACGGTCAGGTGGTGGGACAACAAGGCACAAAACTAACAGAGGTGCCGAGTCTAATGATTATGTACGACAAAAATGATAAGGGATGATTATTTCTAACAGAGATCCCATGCTTTTTTCAGAACTTTGACGCTCTATTGTAGCCTTGCCGTGTATTCCGTACACGTACAACTCGCAACACACAACGTCGTCGGCTACACAACGCACACGTACAATGATTGTTTCCAAATCTTAGCAGTACATGTCCACGGTGTAGATGAGGACTTTGTGTGTTGCGATTTGGAGATGTACTGAAAAGAAGTCCCATTTTGCACATCGAACACGTATGGGTAAAAGTGATGTTTGTTTTTGTTTTTTAAAGTTTTTTTTTACAAAGTAGCCACAAACCATAATATTATTATTCCCTTTCCCTACCCATTGTGCAAGCTCAAGCTGGATACAGATCTATTTCATTCCTTGGTGCTGACCGCTTTAATGCGCTTCCCGAATCCCTTCGCACAAATCATATCCCCAATTCATTTCGCCAGGAACTTTTAAAACAATTTCATTCATCTTGGGCACCCTGTAAGAAGACCTTAGGGTCTGTTGGGAATGCCCAAGTAAAATAATAAAATACAACAACAACAGCCATCATGGTGCAGGCACTTGCAAAAACGCACTGGGAAACACATAGGGATGGCAGCCAAAGCAGTGGAGGCGGGGAAAGAGCAGCTCAACCGACCATGGGTCTCGGTTTCAGCACTGCTCATGCGCGCCAAACAGAAAAAATACGAAGTGAGAAAAAATGAGCAGGAGCACAACAGAGTAAATAAGAAATAAATAATATGTAGGATAGAGAGCAGGCACACCACACATTGCCACAAACGCCCAGTAGCCGGGATCCGAATGCATATACACAAACACACCCTCAGACACACGCACACACAAACACATGCGCGCACACACACAAACACACGTGCACACAGCCATGCACACCCACGCAAACATGAGCGCACAAACTTACATACACACCCGCACACACCCAAACACCCACCCACACTCACACACATACACCCACACACACACATACACACACACACACACACACACGCACATCTACACATGCACCATACCGCACGCACCGGCATCGAGTGTGCCCAACAATTGAGGTAATAAGGCAGGTGACCAAGAACCGATCATGGGCAGATATCTGTCGCCCAAACTCAGTTCTTGCTCTAGAGCTACAATTGGACTCTGGTTGTGACTTAAGCGGGATTCACAGAAGCTGTTTTTGCGATGCGACAGCCGCGAAACCGGGAAAACCCCAAATCGCAACCATCGCGGACCCTACGCAACTGCCGCAACAGGGCCATCGCGAAAGTTGAGCTTGGCTCAACTTTTGCGATGCGGCAAGCGATTTGGCGTACGATGTTGGCCTTTTCTACTGCAAAGTTGTACAAAGTTTTAAAGGTTCAAGAATTGCCTATAAATTTGTACAATTTGTACCAAACCTTACGAATATCATGGTGACGTAACCAAATCAGCAAGACTTTGTCGCATCGCTGACTTCCTCTGTGAATGGTATTTCGCGAGTTCGCATCGCACGCGTCCATCGCAGATCGCGACGCATCGCAAAAAAAGCTTCTGTGAATCCCGCTTTATAAGTGCCAGCTGAGATGTCCACGAAGTAGAGATCATGTTGAGTCCAGAGCCCTGACGCAATCTACGTCACAATCCGAGCCAAAATGTCGCACTGTCCTTGTATAGATGCGCAAGGCGTCAAGGGATAGCATTATGCAAGACAGCAAGTGTGAATACCAATGGTCCATTGTACATACTAAACATGCATGCATGCATGATGCATGATGCACACACATACATGTAGTGATAAATCACACATTTCGGGTTGCATTTTTCCTTTTCTGGTTTTCTGGGTTTGCATTTGTATTGCTTTTTCATTCATTGTGTTTCTTTTGCCCGTTAAAGAGGTTTCATGAGTATTCAGTGTGAAAATAAATAGATGCATGATTGAGAGCGAAAAGGAACGTTTTTCCTAGATCTTTGCACCTAGGGTAGGGGGTGGTGGTGAAAGAATTATTGTAGTTACGCTGACTATTTCCGCCATCATTTGTACCATGCGCTTTAACTAAATTAAGTAATGCGCCTCCACAGTTTTTTATAAAATTAATTATAATTAGTCCTACTTATTAACAAT